GATTTGACACGCATAGAAATATGCAACGCTCGTATGCGTAGATAACTGTAGCGAGCAATGATCAAGATAGCTGACGGCTAGGGCTGCTAATTGATTTTTGGCTAAATAATTTGTTTTTATGTGTAAAAGGCAGGAAACAAGCATATGGCTCTCCTTATGGTAAGCGGCCGTCATAGCCTATACAGAAGCTTGCGAAACCGAAAAGAAGCATTCGCACAATAGCTACCCCAAATACATCCTCAAACCGGTGAGTAAAGCCTGAAATCACCAGAAACACAACTGCACCCAACAATACTGTTACATAACTTCGATGGACAGAATCTTCCACCCGAGAGGAAAACCATTATCCGCCATATCGCAACGGACGGACGTGACATGTATTTATATAATAAGTGCCCTGAAAAAACAATGTACCGAAGTACCTACTTATTTAATAAACACGTCTCCGGTTACAGACATACCTCTAGCTGGGAATGACAGTAGGTATGATCTCTGCCTGGAGCATTGGCTGCTATCTACCCTAGCCAGACTTACGATATCCATCCATACATGCTGATAGTAAACCATTAGATTAGTCTACAAATCTAGATATGCGTGTACTTGACGTACAGAATGTGCCCCTATGAATAAGGGGATTAAAGCTTGACGCACATATATCAACGCGGAAATTGATCATTGCATCGCTTTCTCATCGTTCGATACACAAAGATACGCGTAGATAGCGCACCACGTGAGAGGTTTTCATGGTGACCCCATCTCTGAGGCATCTTCGAATCCCAGTCGTCTTTTCAATGTAGAAAAACTAAACTTTCTGTATTGTATTTGATCCTGTATCATATATTAAACATGTGATACACCATAACATGTTCAATTTTCTATTGAAAATGTAAATTTAACAAGAAGCTTAAAGCTAAAATTCATTTGGAGTTTGATGATTATGGATAACTTGATCATTATTTATTGTTACTTTTGAGTGAAAACTCCTTTAGCATCGTTGCGCTTTGAAACTCGATGAAACGAAAAAGCGACAGTATTTGACACAAGGTAATTTTGTAACTTTCTGCAAGAGACAGATGGCCGAACGGTAACGGTTTTGGGGTCGACACAAAAAAATCCTGAGCTCGGTTATATTTGGAATTGATTTTTTATTCTTCAATTACTTATTATTTATTTATCATACACTGACAAGCGTGCGAATCGTAATGACGCTATTTCGTGTTGTTATACTCGTATGTGCTCTTACCTTAGGGCTCCCCTTTTGAATCCATGCTGACTGACGTGATTGGAAACGTATCTTGTGGATTATCTGGGACCTAATTTAGTTTAATTAATAATAATTAACTGCTTCCGGTTATTGTGCATGCAACAATTGTTTGGTCTCAAACTAGGCATAGTTTGTAACATGGAAATCAAAATAATGGTCCTTTACAAATTAATCCTAGTCCTATACCTACCAAACGTAAGTTATGCAAACTTATTGTGATAAATGTTGAAAGAAAAAGTAATAATTCAGAAACTGACTCTATTTGTGTACTGTTTATCCTATTTCTAAACTTCATAAATTTTTACAAATTGATTTTTGGTTTATCGGGCAAACTTCCGCCTTTAATGTTTTGGAGCTTCCGTTTCTATACCATAGTCGCTACCACTGGATATTTTTCTCAATTTTTCAAATTTTATTAAATGACAACAATATAACATACGTGGTTAAAATAGCGAAACCAAAAATCATCTTTTTTTTTAGATATTGTAGTTCCGTAGACAAAACAGTTTCTAAAGCCATTTCTGGGGTTTAATTCGTCAATGTGGGTCCATTGCATTGCATTAGCAATTCTAAATTACTATCTACTTACTCGATTTGTCACACGGGTCAAATCTGACTCATCCATTTGGCTAAAAGCTCGCTGTGGAAATCCAATAGTTTCTATTCCGATAAAGCTTTGGATTACGCATATATAGTCGCAAACTAGGTTTTTTATAGTTATGTTTTTATTTTTTTTAGCATTTAACTGCTAAAAGTTTAAATCTAAAGAAAAGTTTTACTAGAAAAAAATCCACGCGAAACAGGCAGCGGACGGAACTCGAACCCGCACCCTTCGCAATCCGGGCGAATGCACTGAATGAATATTTGCAAATACTATTTTCTTTTTTTTATACTGATCGTTCTACCGCAGCTAGTTTACGGAAAAAATTATATATGCACAACTTCAAACGACTGAATCTCTAAATAATGTTCAATAAATTAGAACAAATTAATTACTACGACATCAGAAATATGTTTTTGTTGTAACGTAATGTATTAGAACTTTGATTTTCCATCTCATTAATTATAAAAAAAAACATCTAACCTCCGTGAGTTTTCCCAAAAAACAATGGAGGTTTACCTCGTATTTTGATATTGAATTAAATAGAATTACTATCAAAAGCTTGAATAAAACTAATCTACCATCATTGAACTACTGAAATATGTATATATTTTTATAATTATTTCATTATGACCTCCGTGGCCGAGTGGTTTTCCGCCGGGTTTCATGGTGTCGCCGACTCGAGAGGTCCCGGGTTCGAATCCCGGTGGGGGCAGATCTTTGTGTGATGAATACGAGCATTTGTACTCCAGTCATGGATGTTTAATATGTATTTCTATATAAATATACTTATATATGTACAGTATATGTATTCTATCCGTTAACCTAGCAACCCATAACGCAAGCCTTTACTTTGGGGCTAGGCTAATTGGTGTAAGTGTTGGAAAATATTATTTATTATTAATAATTATTTTATAAGACTCGAAATATCACCCGTAAAATGCAATATATACTAGTGCAAATCTACCTATGCGCCGATCAGTACGACAGTGGCGCAATTTTGTAAAAGGGCTCTTAACTAAAAAACTACATTTTCACGTTTTAACCTATACGTGTAAGTGTACTTATGTCATTCAGCATTCAGATAATTACTTGTTTTATTGAAGCACTAGGTATCTATTTCATACCATTTAACGTACAATTATCGCTAAAGCGGTAATAATGCTAAATTTTATGATTATGTAAATGGTATTCAGAAAATGTTTGAGCTCTTGTCTGTACGTAACTTCAATACTACTCGTACATAATAGGATGACAGTTCTCGATGCAGCGTGCAAATGCATGACGACTATTTATGCTATACCACAGATTACTTAATAGTTACTTCTTTTTCTACTGACATTATCTATGTGAAAGATTGTATGTTTATCACGCAATAACTACTGAACGGAATTGGATGTTTAGACCAGGATTGAGACATAGGATACTTTTCATCCCAGAAAAATGTTATGTTCCTGTGGAATTCTCAAAAAACCAAATTAGGGATGATGACTAATTTTTTTTCTTCGTTTATCAGGTAGATTATCAAAAAGTATTGGACACGTATTTTTTCTTTTTTCACATAATACAAACATTGCAGAGATAGGTATATTGATTTCATTGAAAGTCGCATCACTTCACGTTTTGGTCCAATTTTCACTTAAAAGTGACGTCACGAGCCCCTACTCCCAACCTTTGACGCGCTATAACTTTGTCAATTTTTGGTTGATTTCCCAAAAAAAATATACCTACGTGTCCATTATTTTTTGATCATCTAACTGACGGACTAAATAGAATTTCGTTTACTGTACCCCGTCATCACCCCTAATTAGTAACATGATTATAACTATAACCAAAAACTACCCATCGTTAATAAAAATATAGGAAATAAAATTTGTCAATTCGCATTTGCAAAGCTTCACAGAAGCTTACACAACAACAACATTTACATTATAAAATTAACATTTATAGAATTACAAACACACACACATTCAACATCTTCTTGCCGTGTTCGTGATTAGAATTACCTTGTAGGATAATTTAAAGGTCTTAAGATCTAATAGTAAATTAGATCTAATAGAAAGATATGTCTGTCTTTCTGATCTTTCTGATTTGTATTTTAATTATTTTTAAACTACCTGTAAGATTCAGGTCGATTTATCTAGTTACTTTAAATGTCGGCAGCAAATATGATATATAATACGATTATGTCTGGAGTAACTCTCTGTTTTATATAAATTTAAAATTGTCGCACAGCATATTTATCAGTGTGTTTGTTGTTTTATTTATAAATAAATATTTAAAAGATTTGTAAAAACATTTATATATTTAATAAAATATATACATATATCGAGTTCCGTGGTCGTGTGGTATGAACGCCGGGTTTCAAGGGGTCGTCTACTCGAGAGGTCCCAGGTTCGAATCCCGGTGGTGGCAAATGTTTGTGTGATGCCAACAGTGTTTACTTTGGGGCTAGGCTAATTGATGTGAGTGTTAGATATATAAGTATTTATATTTTATTAGATGGTTTTAATTTTAGCAGAGCTTGTATTGAATATCAAATACGTAACTTTGTTTACAACTTTCACCTTGATTGAGCAATGAACTATTATAGATTTGCATAATTTTAAACCAAAATATGCAAATAATATACCCCTGTGTCTGCGGCTATAACTATTTTAATGCGAGTCAATTTCGATTGACGAAGTGAGACATGGATATGAGTGTATAGCGGCATTCCGTTCTGATAGTTGCGTTTAGATCGCTTTAAGAGTTCATGTTACGACCGTTAAGCAAAAATTAAAGAAACTCTTAACGAACAAATTGACAAAATTACTTATTCATCACGAGATGAGTGTGTTTGGGTACACTTATTCCGATATCAGACAGAGTGAACGATATTAGGAAATAGTAGAGTAAGAAATTGTGTAACATACGTAGGTATTCGTTTTACGCATTACTTCAAGTGAGTTAAAATTAATACCTTGTATTGGGTGACAAGCTGATTCTAGGTAAGTAATATTTGTAACCCAAAATATTAAAACGACCAATAAACTCGCTCACAACTCAATAAATAGCAACTCTTTTCCAATGTAAATTGGACATGCCAGGTATATGACTCCTGTACACATATTAAAGCGACAATAATCGACTCACCGATGTCTACGCCACAGCTCCCAGCTGATGAAGCCCTGCAGAGCTGGATTACTCTCGTCCACTAAAGTGCCTCCTCTCGACCGGCAGAACCCAAGCGCATCTCTGAAGTTGGCCGGCTGTCCATCGTAAAATATGTAACATTTCCCGTTGTAAGTCGCCGTGCTACCCGGTGGCTGGTCTCTGAATTGCGGGCATCTCTCTATGGGCAGAGCTTGGTCGGTGTAAACGAAAGCTTCGCATATTGATAGTTGGCTTGGCGCGGTTGCTTCTAAGTGCACGCTGACGAAGGCGCCAGGCATAGGCGGGTTGCAGGGCAGGAATAGAGGTTGCCCCTCCTCCAGGAACCCGGTGAAGCGGTTGCAGATCGGGTTGGTGCCCAGATCTGGCCGGTTGTTGCCCACGCGAACGACGACGACCGCTGGTTTATTGGCACCTGCGATACAATAGGTTTTTAAGAAACTCCATAATTTGCGGAAGTTCAATAGCATAAGAAATAAGGTTATTAATTTGCTGAACATTGTAATAAAGCCTGAACAGCAAAATATTTATATGCGCCATTAGGACTGGTGCTTTAAGTACAAATTATATAATTTATTAAAGTTCTTTATAAAAACGGAATGCTATGACTCATAAAACCTAAGTTTTGTGTTGATTTAGATTAATATTTAGTGTTGAGTCATTTATTTGTGTAGATTTCTATAACCGTTTGAAGGAGACGAAATACCGACTTTCATCTGCTAAGCATCTAAACTTTCACTCTAGCGAGGGTAACCATTTGTGACTGCCGATGCTTGTCCACAAAACCGTCGATAATTTAATGTAATAACGCGACGGCTGGGGTCGGATGCTAGATATTAAAATAAACTCGAAAGTTTTGCCGCTCCACCGGGTTTACATTAAAATGCGCCGTTCCGTCGAAATGGCAACGGTGTTTTTTCACATTTACTTTATTAACGCGAGCGAGACTCGGGGATTGTCTCTAGAGTAGCCTTTGCCACCACTCTATTCATGCCTGATGGATTATCCGTGATTTTAAACGAATAAGTTGTATCTCCGTTAAAATAATATAGGTACTAAATTCTGAAATTCTTAAATATGAAACTGTTTATTTTTATTTTTGGAAAAGATTTCGAGGTTGTTACTTACTATTTATTAAAATTTAACAAAATGCTTTTTATGGAATTATTGACAATTCAATAATGAGCCTCACTAATTAATGCAGATATGGATGTAACGTTCAGAGATTCGCATTGTTAAAGGGCTTTACCCCCTATGTGGTGATGTTAAAACCACATTGATCTTTAGCTATTAGCCAATAAAAAAAACACTCAACGAGTTTAAAATAGTAATTGCAGTTGGGGGACCATTCTGCAGAAAATACTGAATAACATTATTTTTCACTTGTATTTGATGTACTACGTTTTTGGCACTGTCAAATAATTTTAGGTAGTTGTTTACGTTTATGTAGGTCTGGCCTACAAGGCCTGTTTTGAAGGGGCGGTATCGTCCACACTGAGAAATCGATACCAATATTATAAATGCAAAAGTGTGTCTGCCTGTATGCTACCTCTTAACGCTTAAAACAACAACGGGCTTAGATGATTTTTTTTGTATTGAATTTATTTAATTATCTATACCTATCACAGATAATTGAGTCCCCGGGCTTTCCCCTATGTCTTTACAAGGGAGTGAAAAGGAGGGGGGGGGGGGGAAGTTTGACGTCACGCGTCTCGCTAAACCACTTGGGTGTAACTAGCAAGTTAGCTGCCTAAGCCCGAGTGAGCAAGAAGGTCGAGCCCATCTTAATAGCACTCGCGCAGGCCGCCGTCTCGGTATCAGGTTAAAGTTTACCAGTTCCTACTCTCTATATATTTATATGTTTACTAAACAGAGCGGCACGAGATAATTCCAAATTCTTATTAGAATAATGTGGGATTTTCATTTGTTTTTCTATACAATACTGTCAAGATAAGTGGCCTTGTTGCCTTTACATTTTAAAATTTTAATACAGAAAAGTTAAAAATACAATGCAAGCCGCAAAAAAAAATTGTGATGTTTATGGACCTAGTGCAGTGCCTGAGAGTAGCACAAATTCGGTTGAAGCGTTTTCAACCCGGAAATTTTGATGTCAAAGATAAACGTCGCTCTGGCGGCCCCGTTACGGATAAAATGGATGTCATTTTTGAAAAAGTGGAGCAAGATCGGCATATCAGTAGTTACGACGTAGCTAAAAAACTGGGAATTGACCGCATTTGAAAAAAAGCTGGGTACACTAAAAAGTTCGATATTTGGGTGCCTCACGAGCTCACTGAAAGAAACCTAATGAACCGTGTACCTACTCATTTGTGATTCTTTATTACGACGTAATGCAACCGAACCATTTTTGCAGAAGCTGATATCTGGTGATGAAAAGTAGATCTCATACGACAAGAACGTGCGAAAAAGGTCGTGGTCAAAGTGGTCAAAGGCTAGTCAGACTTCACAGACTCTGGCGAAAACCGGGTTAACTCGCAACAAGGTGATGCTGTGTGTACGAGTATGGTGGGATTGGAAGGGCATTATTCATTATGAGCTGTTACCGCCAGGCAGAACCATAGAACTCTACTACGAACAACTGATGAGATTAAAGCAAGAAGTTGAGAGAAAGCGGCCGGAAATAATCAACAGGAGGGGTGTGGTTTTTCGTCATGATAATGCTAGACATCACAAATCCTTAGCCACTTAGCAAAAATTAAGAGAGTTTGACTGGGAGGTGTTTATGTATCTGCCGTAAAGTCCTGACCTTGCATTTTCAGATTTGCACCTGTTTCGGTCCCTTCAGAATTCTTTAGGCAGTGTCAGGTTAACATCACGAGAGGACTGCCAAAACCATTTGTCGCAGTTTTTTGATCAAGCGTCCCAAAATTTCTATAGCAATGGAAATCATGTCCCTACCTACAAGATGGCAAAAAGTTATTGAACAAAATGGCACCCACATACTTTAGTTAAATGTAAATAAATTTTATTAAAAAATGACATGATTTTTCATATAAAATGGGAAGAAACTTTTCCCCCAACATAATATTACGAACAAGGAGTACGCAGTGTAAACCAAGTAGGTTTCACAAAGAGGCCCAGCTTATGATGTAAATGTGGACTCAGCTAAGTGTAAGGCTCTTACCTTCTTCGACTTGGTTTTGGAGTCCTAGTTTAAAATGGGGCTAAAAAGCGGGTTCTTTTGAGTTGTCCGTCGCGTAAATTGAGTCGCATATTTCCGACGACAAAAATTTCAACTCTTACTGCGTGGCCTTACTTTGTGAAACTGAAAACTATAGGATTCTCTACTATTGATTTTGTGTAACGATTTTTGTAGAACAGTATCGTTTAGAATTTAGTCGAGTCGAAGTCTGTTTGCAAATAATATATATATTTGCATTACGGCAGCATAAGAGTTATCCGAAAGAATCTGCCAAATCCTTTTAGTTCTCAATAAAAAGTGATTAACAAGAAGCGTTAAGGTAGGTTTAAGTCAGTTTGATACCCGGAAAAAGCAAATTTTTTCTACTAACTTTACGAGATTATTTTAATAAAAATTAACCTAGTATCTAAAACATAGAGCAACATGGACGCGACTCCTGGCGTCCGAGTTGCTGTATAAATTACAAAAATGGGTGCGTGTACTTATGTAGGCGCGTGAGAAGTTATCCTTCTTTGGCATCGTTTAAAATTAGTTTTTAATTGCATGCAAATAATTAATTACAATAAATTAATAAAAAGTCTGGAAAAGGACACAGTCAATAAAGTTCAGTTTTAATTTGAAAAAATAAATAAATAATCAAAATATTCAATTAAAATCGCTACTGAATATAATTTATTAGAACATATGTGATTTGCACTTGTATGAAACTCAAACACGTATTCCGAATATACAAACTAGAAACATGTGGATAAATATTATAAATATGAATACCTATAACTGTTACTTTATTACAAAAAATAAAGATTTGGTTCTACTACACCAATGGTCAAGAGATGGCGCTGTAGTCTCCTGAATCGCGCTTTGGTTCCGTTGTTCCAGATTAATAAATACTTTTTGTTACTTTATTACAAAAAATAAAGATCTGGTTTTTGGTTCTACTACACCAATGGTCAAGAGATGGCGCTGTAGTCTCCTGAATCGCGCTTTGGTTCCGTTGTTCCAGATTAATAAATACTTTTGATAGGCCTTCACAATGCAGTCGTTAGCACCCACAAAATAGAGATTCTATTTCTATTTTGTTGGTAGATTTTCTTAATGTGCGGTAAACACAAAAGTAACAGCATGAAGTTGGGCGCTAAAGCGACTAATTTTTGTGTTACAGTGATGCGCGCGCATCTTAAAATTTCACTCTCATCATTTTTTCATAACGCGCCTAAAGAAGTATAACTTCAAAAATTTAAAGTTGCAATTTATAAGACAAAGGAAGGAAAAAAGGTTTACTCAATCTCACCACAACAAGGTTTCCCGAAGTCCAGTCTCACCAGCTGTACCATGTACGGCTCGAGCAGGTTGACGTACCACCACGGCACTCGCTCGGGCTTCGTCAGGGTGCAGGTATCCGCCCTGAAGGTAGATGCGGTGCTGCCGTCCAGGGCCCTTTGAGGCACGCCGCCCTCGTCAGTGGAGGCCTGCATGGGCGCCTTACCCGCAGCTACGTTCAGCACTGTAGACAATTTAACAATTAGGATAGTAAGAAAGAGGTTGGTGTCTTCCTATCGATCTTAGGATTTATTTGAAAATTCATGAGACCGCTGTTATATGCTCAGCAACCGCCACTGCGAGATCGGGTAAACCTCGTTGCGGCGCGACTATGGGTGATCGCGTTCCGGGCTCGTCTGTATCGGGTGCCGTAAACAACTAGTCCAGGCAACGAATGCTCAAAAACAGGTATAGAGGGAATTGCTTAGAACACAATTTTTGACTTCGTGACTTTGTTAGGACTAGTTAGGAGGTAAACATATCAAAAGTCCCCGCCCGTAGCCCTTAAGGGGGGGGGGGGGTCCCATTTTTAGCTTTTTCGCATATATCTCGAAAACTATGCATCCTAGCGACATGAGGCTTTCACAAAAGTGAAAGCTGATTAAATTTGCTACAAGTCTTATTCAGTCAAATTTTTTGATATCTTGTATAGTTTTCGAGATATCCGCTCTTAAAAGTCTGTAATTATGGAAAAAAAATTTGTTCCCATTTTCGCTCTATTTGACCGGATAACTCTTCAACAATGCACCCAAAAAATAAATGCCGGCCGTAGGGTTATAGAGCATTAAATTATCTTCAATAATAGAAACAATTGCCTTTTTTTTTATTTAAGGACAAAATTGTTAGTGTAGTAGACGTATGGGGGCGGTACGGTGGGCACTAGGCCGCGTACTCAGCCCCCACGCGCGGGCCGTCCTGCGCACGTCTGTGGGGTCCTCGCGATACCCCGGGAGACCCCTGCCGCGGAACCTCGGCAAGGCCGGGAGGCTGCTAGGTGCGGAGACGCGGAAGAATCCCTAAACGGGGATGGTGTTCGAGGGTTTTTTAGCGGATATTATGCCGTATAGCGCCCGTAAGGGTTACGGGGTCCTCAGTGGGCAGCCACTGCTGGGGCTCGTAAGGCTTGCGGGAGCCAGGTGTGAGGTCCGTTCGGCGGTGTGCCTCTTAAAGGCGCCGTCGTCTGTAAATAGTATTTTTTGCCTGCGTATAAAAAAAAGGGTAGTAGACGTATTGACTAAAGGGGGTGTCCCGCGTTCCTGTTCCCCAGCGTGCCAAAATTGCCAGGGGAACTGCTTGAATGGGGTCCCTCAAGTTGACTCCGAAGGTGAAGAAGAACAGGAGGATCCTCTGACCGTTTCCCTACAGGGTTCCGATGGAGAAAATGACACAGACAAAGAAAATGTAAACGAAGACGAGGATCAAGGTCCTTCCCACCCCAAAAGAGCAAGAAATTAACTATATTAACTATTAGGGCAGTGAGAGGAAGGAACTGCTATCGAGGCGGATGCGATTGGCCATGTGAGGTTCTGGCATAACAGGCCCTGCCAGAATACCAGCGCTGCTGTGACACGTTTTATAGTGTGTTGCGGCAGCATTACGCTGAGGCAGGGTCCTGATTGACCACAAATGGTACTTTATTTTTTTCTTCTTTTCTCCATTATGTATATTTTCTTATTTTTTTTGTATGTTGTTTTGTAATTTATAATGTGGTCAATAAAAATGATTCTCTCTCTCTCTCTCTATATTGGATTTTTTTACAAATCTCTTTTTGCACGTCATAGTGAATTGTATCGAAAACTGCTGCCGTATTCGTACCTGTATAGCCAATGAGAACCGGAAAAAAACCAGAGGCACAGGGCCCTACCGTCTCAATTTTTTTTCAAGTCCAGTTTTATAATTTTAATCATTCTTAATACTACTTTTTGTGTTGAGCTGGACCAATACAACACCAGACAATCTTATCATTTAAATAATCATCTAATTTATAATAACCTTTTTTGCATAAAGTAGTTAACTCTTGCAGTTTTTTTAAACTTATTTTCTGGATTGTGTGAAGAACCTGGTCAGTGGGCCAACAAGTACATATTCTAAAATGAGCATGTGTGCTATTTAGACATCGGTGCATCGTTAAAGAGTTATCCGAGAGTTATCCGGTCAAATCTATACTTATAATAAATCTGTAGAGAGGTCAATTCTGTACATTAAATATATTTTCAAAATAACTATCAGGGGGTGATTAGTGATCGATACTGATGCCAAAAATGCAATCAGTAAAATTTTTGTCTGTCTGTCTGTCTGTCTGTATGTTCCCTATAGAAACAAAAACTACTCGACGGATTTTAACGAAACTTGGTACAATTATTCTTCATACTCCTGGGCAGGTTATAGTATACTTTTCATCACGCTACAATTAATAGGAGCAGAGTAGTGAAGGGAAATGTTGGGAAAACGGGAGAAGTTACTCCATTTTTTAAGCTTCCGTCGCGTGCGCAGCCTTATTGGTTAAAGTTACATAGAAATCATGTATGACAGAAAATATTCTACATAAAATTGTCTAAAAAATATCCTGCAACAGCATATGTCTATCTTTTATGGTTTACTCACAATAATACGTGTAACTCTTGATAGCTTAGCAGTTCAGAGCATTCTGATTATATTTGTTTACTCTTACGTTTATAATACTCTCACTCATCCCTAATTTAAAAAGTTAACATTATTACCTATTCAATAAAAAAAGAATCATAAAAAAATAATTAAATAAATAAATTCAATGTGTACAATACACGCCTGAGAACAAAATCTATAGTCTACACTACAGCTCTACACCGAAGCGAAGCGAGGGCGGGCCACTAGTAGAGCATAAATGTAAAGCATTTTTTTTTTCTATAATTACAGATTTTCAAGAGCGGATATCATTATTACAGATATTATTATTAGATAATTACAGTTTCTCAATGACACTAATTTACTTTCTTTTTTATTTATGGACCTCACACCTGGCTCCCGCAAGCCTTACGAGCCCCAGCAGTGGCTGCCCACTGAGGACCCCGTAACCCTTACGGGCGCTATACGGCATAATATCCGCTAAAAAACCCTGCGAACACCCTCTAAGCTGCTTAGTGCGAAGCCGCGGAATCCCCGTTTAGGGATTCTTCCGCGTCTCCGCACCTAGCAGCCTCCCGGTCTTGCCGAGGTTCCGCGGCAGGGGTCTCCCGGGGTATCGCGAGGACCCCACAGACGTGCGCAGGACGGCCCGCGCGTGGGGCCTGAGTACGCGGCCTAGTGCCCACCGTACCGCCCCCATACGTCTACTACACTAACAATTTTGTCCTTAAATAAAAAAAAGGCAATTGTTTCTATTATTGAAGATAATTTAATGCTCTACAACCCTACGGCCGGCATTTATTTTTGGGTGCATTGTTGAAGAGTTATCCGGTCAAATAGAGCAAAAATGGGAACAAATTTTTTTTCCATAATTACAGACTTTCAAGAGCGGATATCTTGAAAACTATACAAGATATCAAAAAATTTGACTGAATAAGACTTGTAGCAAATTTAATCAGCTTTCACTTTTGTGAAAGTCTCATGTCGCTAGGATCCTAAAAATGGGACCTTCAAGCCCCCCCCCCCCCCCCCTCCCCCCGGCTTAAGGGCTACGGGCGGGGACTTTTGATATGTTTACCTCCTAACTAGTCCTAACAAAGTCACGAAGTCAAAAATTGTGTTCTAAGCAATTCCCTCTATACCTTTTCGTTGCCTGGACTAAACCGCGCGCTCAGCGGGCGTAAAACGCGTCATGAAAGCGATTGTGTTTCACCATGGAATGTATAATAGTGTTTTACCTTACAAAACTAAACTAACAAATCTAAAGAAATAGTGTTATGAATCCACAGCGTTCCGTTAAACGCGACCGTCAGGATGGCAGCTCACTCATTTTACTTATCATGAGGGATTTAATTAGTGACCCGCCACACTGACAGTCACCGTTAAACTTAAATAAAATTCAGAATACTCTCTATGGTGTTTAAAGTGATGTTGTTCATAGAAACAATTGTCTAAGAAGTGAAAGTAAAACAGCTGTAAGTGCGCGAGCACACGATGCGTTGCGGCGCCGCACCGCAAAGATTTCGCCGCATCGGTGGGCACACGAGCGGTACGGCGCCACAACGTTGTTACGTCGCAGCGGCGGCGGCGCCGCGGACAACTCAGCAGCATACATTCTCCTTGACGTATAAACAACTGAGCGGTGCCGCTCCGACGTCGCAACGCATTCACCCCTCCCCGCCTCCTTGCAAGTCCGGTGCAGCCTGGAGCGCATCGTGTGACATGCCACAGATATTACTATGTAGGACGACGCAACGACACCGTTCGTGCGCCGCACCGCCGCCGCAACGCATCATGTGCTCCCGCTCTAAGCCCACGGATAGAATCATAGCTTTAGAGGAAATGCTGTGGCGAGAAGCGTGGCAAACGGTAAAGACCTTCAATAGCAAAGACAATGGTCGTACCGAGATATAAGTACTCAATTCATTGGCACTCATTGATTATTATGTCCCAAGGTGCTAAGCTTTATTTTTAATAATAAAAGACAATAGCTAAACGCTTTGGGTTTTATAAACGTTGTCGGCATTAAATTATAAATACCTTATTTATAAAAAAAACTCACTTTTAAGTTAACGTACAACATTGTCAACATCATTAGTATCTCCACTCCGGGAACTCAGGCATTCCTTTTTGAAACACGAAAAATTTTTACATAAACACAGATACTTTTAATACTGCAGTAGAGGAGGTCTGTTTCGCAGATGTTAGCGTAAAAATAGTGATTTCAAGCCACATCCCCGCTTTATCAGCAGGCGTGAACATAGTCAAATGTCCTCAATTATCATGAAAAAATATTTATCAGAGAATTTTCATTCTCTCATCTTTAAATTCAAAGTAGATTTATATTATAACTAGTGGCCCGCCCTCGCTTCGCTTCGGTGTAGAACTGTAGTGTAGACTATAGTTTTTGTTCTCAGGCTTGTATTATAAACAATGACATTCTTCTAATACCTAAATACAATAGGCACGCGTTTATTTACGACCTTACATTAAAAACCTCTAAAATTATCAGTGTTTCCCTACTATATTATGCATGTATTATACATATAAACCTTCCTCTTAAATCACTCTATCTATTAA